GAGGCAAAGGGTTACCACGGTTGCGTAAGCCTCCCAGAATCACCGAGACTGGATCAATGACAACGAAAGTCATATTCGACCAATGGAGAGATGGTTACGACGATGGTGAAATAGACGCCAGTAATGACGTACTCACCTACCTGATACGCATCTGGGTATGTTGTATGATGCTTATTATGTGATCCTTATGTTATGTGATCCTTATGTTATGTGATCCTTATTATGTGATCCTTATTATGTGAATATGTGATCCTTATTATGTGATCCTTATGTTATGTGATCCTTATGTTATGTGATCTTTATTATGTGAATATGTGATCCTTATTATGTGAATATGTGATCCTTATTATGTGATCCTTATTATGTGATCCTTATGTTATGTGATCCTTAATTTATGTTATGTGATCCTTACTTTGTTATTTACAACTTTGAGTACAGTGTATTAGATGATCTGTCAACCTCTTTAAGCTATATCCCAGCGTCTTTCACTCCTCGCAGCTCACCAAGGACGGGATATATAAGGCAGCATCCCACCCTGTTACACCAGGAAACTTTATTACCCTGACTAGACTAGAGCCTGGGTCAGAATACAACCTACAGGTGCTGGTACAGGTGGAGAATTATGAAGGGAAAGTGTGTGTTGCTGACGGATTCGGGCGTGAGAGAGTACACACAGTGCCCTTCAGAACTTCCTGTCCTAACAGTAGGTACCACGGATACCTGTCAGTGTTCTATTGACCTGGCAAGTGGTTTTATAAGTGTAAAGTAGATGGTAGTTTGAGGCGTGTACCGTAAATCTTTGGTCTCACTATGGGGTAAGAGCGTTGAGTTAAGTAATTTATTTGAGAGATGACTAAAATGGTAGTTGTTAAACCAGGTGTGTCAGTAGTGTTTCAGAGGAGTGACTCTGATGCGAATTTTCTTTTTACAATTTCCTGAAAATAGACCAAACTAAGTTATCGTGTGTTGTGCATCTATGAGGAATAACAACCAGGCATATCCTTACTGACATGATCCAAACATTTAATGGAGATGTCCCTCTTACTGCACAGTTAAGGTGGGTTTAACATGATAGAAGGAACGAGTCACTAGGGGTGTTTAACATGATAGAAGGAACGAGTCACTAGGGGTGTTTAACATGATAGAAGGAACGAGTCACTAGGGGTGTTTAACATGATAGAAGGAACGAGTTACTAGGTGGGTTTAACATGATAGAAGGAACGAGTCACTAGGGGTGTTTAACATGATAGAAGGAACGAGTCACTAGGGGTGTTTAACATGAGAGAAGGAACGAGTTACTAGGTGTGTTTAACATGATAGAAGGAACGAGTCACTAGGGGTGTTTAACATGAGAGAAGGAACGAGTTACTAGGTGTGTTTAACATGATAGAAGGAACGAGTCACTAGGGGTGTTTAACATGATAGAAGGAACGAGTCACTAGGGGTGTTTAACATGAGAGAAGGAACGAGTTACTAGGTGGGTTTAACATGATAGAAGGAACGAGTCACTAGGTGTGTTTAACATGATAGAAGGAACGAGTCACTAGGTGTGTTTAACATGATAGAAGGAACGAGTCACGGGGTATTTAACATGAGAGAAGACAGAGTCCTTGAGTGTGTTTTAACGATAGAAAGACAAGTCTCTGGGTGTTTAACGATAGAGGAACGGAGTCACTAGGTGTGTTTAACGATAGAAGAACGAGTTACTGGCGGGTTTAACATGATGAAGGAACGGAAGTTACTAGGCGGGTTTAACATGAGAGAAGGAACGAGTTACTAGGTGTGTTTAACATGATAGAAGGAACGAGTCACTAGGTGTGTTTAACATGATAGAAGGAACGAGTCACTAGGTGTGTTTAACATGATAGAAGGAACGAGTTACTAGGCGGGTTTAACATGATAGAAGGAACGAGTTACTAGGCGGGTTTAACATGATAGAAGGAACAGAGAAGAGGAACTCACTTAACCAACTCGTATTAAGAAGCGCTGTTCCTGATACTGATGGTAGATAGTCACCATCACATGATTGGTCAGCTTCCAGGACCTAAGAGAAATAACACGAAGGCTGGGTCATGTAGACTCTTTGAATTATACCACTAAACCCCAGGACCAGAATACGGTTTAGCATCACTATACCCCAGGGCCAGAATACGGTTTAGCATCACTATACCCCAGGACCAGAATACGGTTTATCATCACTATACCCCAGGACCAGAATACGGTTTATCATCACTATACCCCAGGACCAGAATACGGTTTAGCATCACTATACCAGGCCAGAATACGGTTTATCATCACTATACCCCAGGACCAGAATACGGTTTATCATCACTATACCCCAGGACCAGAATACGGTTTAGCATCACCGTCGCAAGCTTCACTGAGCCAAATGCTTTCTTAGGTTAGGTTAGGTTACTGCAGGACAAAAGCTCTTATTAATTCATTATAAGTTGATAAAGACTCTAACCTTACCCTCTCTCAGATTTACTTACATGGAGGCTCTAGACACTTACATGGAGGCTCTAGACACTTACATGGAGGCTGTAGACACTTACATGGAGGCTCTAGACACTTACAGGGAGGCTCTAGACACTTACAGGGAGGCTCTGAACACTTACATGGAGGCTCTAGACACTTACAGGGAGGCTCCTAGACACTTACAGGGAGGCTCTGAACACTTACAGGGCTCTAGACCCTTACAGGGAGGCTCTAGACACTTACATGGAGGGCTCTAGACACTTACATGGAGGCTCCTAGACACTTACATGGAGGCCTCTGGACCCACAGGGAGGCTCCTAGACACTTACAGGGGAGGCTCTAGACCTTACAGGGGCTCTAGACACTTACAGGGAGGCACTAGACACTTACAGGGAGGCTCTAGACACTTACAGGGCTCTAGACACTTACAGGGAGGCTCTAGACACTTACATGGAGGCTCTAGACACTTACAGGGAGGCACTAGACACTTGGGAGGCTCTAGACACTTACAGGGAGGCTCTAGACACTTACAGGAGTCACTAGACACTGGGGGCTCTAGACACTTACAGGGGTCACTAGACACTTACAGGAGGCTCTAGACACCTCACAGGGAGGCTCCAGACACTTACAGGGGCCACGACACTTAGGGGTGGCTCTAGACACTTACAGGTGGCTCTAGACACTTGTGGGCTCTAGACACACTTACAGGGAGGCACTAGACACTTACAGGGGCTCTAGACACTTACAGGGAGGCTCTAGACACTTACATGGGTACTAGACACTTAGGGGAGGCTCCTGACACTTACAGGGAGGCTCTAGACTGCCGGGGAGGCTCTGAACACTTACAGGGTGCTAGACACTTACAGGGAGGCTCTAGACACTTACAGGGGGCTCTAGACTCACATTGAGGCTCTAGACACTTACATGGAGGTACTAGACACTTACATGGAGGTCTAGACACTTACAGGAGGTTCTAGACACTTACAGGGAGGCTCTAGACTACATGGAGGCTACTAGACACTTACAGGGAGGCTCTAGACACTTACAGGGAGGTACTATGACACTTACAGGGCTCTAGACACTTACAGGGAGTGCTAGACACTTACAGGGGGAAGCCTAGACACTTACAGGGAGGCTCTAGACACTTACAGGGAGGTACTAGACACTTACAGGGAGGCTCTAGACACTTACAGGGGAGGCTCTAGACACTTACAGGAGCTCTAGAACACTTACAGGGAGGCTCTAGACACACAGGGAGGCTTAGACACTTACAGGGAGGCTCCAGACACTTACAGGAGGCTCAGACACTTACAGGGAGGCTCTAGACACACTTACAGGGAGGCTCTAGACACTTACAGGGGAGGCTCTAGACACTTACAGGGCTCAGACCCTTACAGGAGGCTCTAGACACTTACAGGGGCTCTAGACACTTGGGGGAGGCTCTAGACACTTACAGGGGCTCTAGACACTTACAGGAGGGCTCTAGACACTTACAGGGGAGCTCTGGAACACCTTACAGGGAGGCTCTAGACACTTACAGGGGCTCTGAAGCACTTACAGGGAGGCTCTAGACATTACAGGGGGCTCTAGACACTTACAGGGGAGGCTCTAGACACTTACAGGAGGGCTCTGGACCTTACAGGGAGGCACTAGACACTTACAGGGGAGGCTCCTGGACACTTACAGGGAGGTACTAGACACCTTACAGGAGGTACTAGACACCACAGGGAGGCTCTAGACACTTACAGGAGGCTCAGACACTTACAGGAGGCTCTGACACTACAGGAGTGCTCTAGACACTTACAGGAGGCACTAGACACTACAGGGGGCACTAGACACTTACAGGGAGGCACTAGACACCACAGGGGAGCACTAGACACCACAGGAGGCACTAGACACTTACAGGGGAGGCTCCCAGACACCCTACAGGAGGCACTGACACCCCACAGGAGGCACTAGACACCACAGGGAGGCTCTAGACACCAAGGGAGGCTCCAGACACCTCACAGGGAGGCTCCCTAGACTACAGGTGGCTCTAGACACTTACAGGGTGGCTCTAGACACTCACAGGCCTAGACACTTACAGGGAGGCACCAGACACTCAAGCAGGAGGCTCTAGACACTTACAGGGAGGCTCTAGACACTTACAGGGAGGCACTAGACACTACAGGGAGGCTCTAGACACCACAGGAGGCCCAGTGACACCAGGGAGGCACTAGACACCCCACAGGGAGGTACCACACTTACAGGAGTACTCAGACACTTACAGGGAGGCCGACACCACAGGAGGTACTAGACACTTACAGGGAGGTTCTAGACACCACAGGAGGCTCCAACTTACAGGGAGTGCTCCAGACACTTACAGGGGAGGTACTAGACACTTACAGGAGGTACTAGACACTTACAGGAGGCACTTAGACACCCTACAGGGAGGCACCAGACACCACATAGGAGCAACTAGACACTTACAGGGAGGCACTAGACACTTACAGGGAGGCTCCTAGACACTTACAGGGAGGCTCTAGACACTACAGGGAGGCCTAGGACACCTTACAGGGGAGGCTCTAGACACTTACAGGGGGGTTCTAGACACTTACAGGGAGGCTCTAGACACCTACAGGGAGGCACTAGACACCTCTACAGGAGGCTCCCAGACACTTACAGGAGGCCTCTAGACACTTACATGGAGGTACTAGACACTTACAGGGAGGCTCTAGACACTTACAGGAGGCTCTAGACACACAGGGAGGCACTAGACACTACAGGAGGCTCTAGACACTACAGGAGGCTCTAGACACTTACAGGGAGGCTCTAGACACTTACAGGCACAGAGGGAGGCTCTAGACACTACAGGGAGGCCTCAGACACTTACAGGGGACTCCAGACACCACAGGGAGGTACTAGACACCTTACAGGGAGGCTCCAGACACTTACAGGAGAGTACTCAGACACTTACAGGAGGCTCTAGACACTTACAGGGAGGCTCAGACACTTACAGGGAGGCACTAGACACTTACAGGAGGCACTAGACACTTACAGGAGGCTCAGACACCTACAGGGAGGCCTAGACACCCTCACAGGGAGGTACCTAACACCCCACAGGGAGGTCTCTAGACACTTACAGGGGAGGCTCTACACCTCTACAGGGAGGGGCTCTGGACACTTACAGGAGGCCTCTGACACCTTACAGGAGGCTCTAGACACTTACAGGGAGGCTCTAGACACTACAGGAGGCTCTAGACACCTCACAGGAGGCTCCCAGACTTACAGGAGGTACTAGACACTTACAGGAGGCTCTAGACACCACAGGGAGGCTCTAGACCACAGGAGGCCTCTAGACACTCACAGGAGGCCTAGACACTTACAGGGAGGCTCTAGACACTTACAGGGAGGCTCTAGACACTTACAGGAGGCTCTAGACACTCACAGGAGGCTCTAGACACCACAAGGGAGGCTCTAGACACTACAGGGAGGCTCTAGACACTTACAGGGGAGGCTCTAGACACTTACAGGGAGCGCACTAGACACCCTACAGGGAGGCTCCTAGACACTTACAGGAGGGCTCACACACTTACAGGAGGCTCTAGGACACAGGAGGTCAGACACTTACAGGAGGCTCTAGACACTTACAGGGAGGCATCAGACACTTACAGGAGGTACTAGACACTACAGGAGGTACTAGACACTTACAGGAGGCACTAGACACTTACAGGGAGGCACTAGACCTACAGGAGGCACCCACAACCCCACAGGAGGCACTGACACCTACAGGAGGCACTCAGACACTTACAGGAGGCACCAGGACACTTACAGGAGGCTCACACCTTACAGGGGAGGCCTCTAGACACTTACAGGAGCTCTGGACACTTACAGGGAGGCTCAGACACTACAGGAGGCACTAGACACTTACAGGGGAGGTACTAGACACCTTACAGGGGAGGCTCAAGACACTACAGGAGGCACTGAGATTCACAGGGAGGTACTAGACACTTACAGGAGGCTCTGACACTTACAGGAGGTACTAGACACTTACAGGGAGGCTCTAGACACTTACAGGGAGGCACTAGACCACAGGGAGGCACTGACACTTACAGGGAGGCACACACTTACAGGAGGTACCAGACACCCTCACAGGGGAGGCACTAGACACTTACAGGTGTACTAGACACCTTACAGGAGGCTCAGACACTTCACAGGGAGGCACTAGACACCTACAGGAGGCCTAGACACTTACAGGAGGCTCTAGACACTTACAGGGGAGGTACTCAGGACTTGCAGGAGGCACTAGACACTTACAGGAGGCACTGGACACTCTACAGGGCAGGTACCTAGACACCCTACAGGGAGGTACCAGACACTTACAGGAGACTCAGACCCTACAGGAGGCCCCAGACACCTACAGAGGCTCTTAGACACTTGGGGAGGCACTAGACACTTACAGGAGGCACTACACTTACAGGAGGTACTAGACACTCTACAGGGAGGTACTAGACACTTACAGGGAGGTACTAGACTCAGGCTAGACACTTACAGGGAGGCACTAGACACTTACAGGAGCCCCAGAGACTTACAGGGAGGCACTAGACACTCATAGGGAGGTACTAGACACTTACAGGAGGCCTCTAGACACCCTACAGGGAGGCACTAGGACACTTACAGGAGGCACTAGACACTTACAGGAGGCACAGACTCTTACAGGAGGCCCTAGACACCTACAGGAGGTACCCAGACACTCACAGGGAGTTCAGACACTTGCAGGAGGCTCTAGACACTTACAGGGCAAAATGACACTCACAGGGAGGCACTAGACACTTACAGGAGGACCAGACACTACAGGAGGCACCAGGACACTCACAGGAGGCACACACCTGTGAGGCACTAGACACTACAGGGAGGCACTCAGACACCTGAGGGAGGCACTAGACACTTACAGGAGAGGCCCAGACACTTACAGGGAGGTACTAGACACTTACAGGAGGCTCTAGACACTTACAGGAGAGCACTAGACGCTTACAGGGAGGCACTAGACACCTCACGGGAGGCACTAGACACTTACAGGAGGCACACTAGACACTTACAGGAGGCACTAGACACTTACAGGGAGGCACACACACTTACAGGGAGGTACCAGACACTACAGGGAGGCTCTAGACACTTACAGGGAGGCTCTAGACACTACAGGGAGTGGCACTCAGACACTTACAGGAGGCACTAGACACCCTACAGGAGGCACTAGACACTTACAGGGAGGCTCTAGACACTGCACACTTCTACAGGAGGCACGACACTTACAGGAGGCACTAGACACTTACAGGGAGGCATGAGAATCACAGGGAGGCTCTAGACACTTACAGGGAGGCACTCAGACACCACAGGGAGGGCTAGACCCCAGGAGGCTCCAGACCCTACAGGGAGCTCCTGAACACTTACAGGGAGGCACCAGACACTTACAGGAGCACTCAGACTTACAGGAGGCACACCTCACAGGGGAGGCACTAGACACTTACAGGAGGTACTAGACACTCACAGGAGGCTCTAGACACTACAGGGAGGCATCAGACACCTGCAAGGAGGTGCACTAGACACTACAGGGAGGTTCAGACACTTACAGGGAGGCTCTAGACTTACAGGGGAGGCATCAGACACACAGGAGGCTCAGACACCTCACAGGAGGCTCCTAGACACCTACAGGAGGCACCAGACACTTACAGGGAGGTACTAGACACTTACAGGGAGGCACTCAGGACACTTACAGGGAGAGCTCTAGACACCCTACAGGAGGCAATTAGACACTTACAGGGAGGTACTAGACACTTACAGGAGAGGTACTAGACACTACAGGGAGGCTCAGACACTTACAGGGAGGTACTAGACACTTACAGGGAGGTTCCAGACACTTACAGGGAGGTACTAGACACTTACAGGGAGGGTACTAGACACCTCACAGGGAGGCACTAGACACTTACAGGAGGCTCTGAGACACTCACAAGGGAGGTACTAGACACTTACAGGGAGGCCTCTAGACACTACAGGAGGTACTAGACACTTACAGGGAGGTACTAGACACTTACAGGGAGGCTCTAGACACTTACAGGGAGGCTCTAGACACTTACAGGAGGTACTAGACACTTCACATGGAGGCACTAGACACTTACAGGAGAGGTACTAGACACCCTACAGGAGGCACTAGACACTTACATGGAGGCACTAGACACCTACAGGGGAGGCACTAGACACTTACAGGAGGCACTAGACACTTACAGGGAGGCACCAGACACTCTACAGGGAGGTACTAGAAACTGCACAGGAGGCCTAGACACTTACAGGGAGGCAGACACTTACAGGGAGGTACCTAGACACCTCACAGGGAGGCTCTAGACACTTACAGGGAGGTACTCAGACACTTACAGGGAGGTACTAGACACTTACAGGGAGGTACCAGACACCTTACAGGAGGCTCTAGACACTTACAGGGAGGTACTAGACACCTTACAGGGAGGTACTCAGACACTCTACAGGGAGGCTCCCAGACACTTACAGGAGGCTGACACTTAGCATGGAGGTACTAGACACTTACAGGAGGCTCCAGACACCACAGGAGGCATTAGACACTTACAGGAGGCTCTAGACACTTACAGGAGAGTACTCCAGACACCCCTGTATACTCTGACACTTACAGGGAGGTACGACACCTCAGGGAGGCACTAGACACTTACAGGAGGCACTGACACTACAGGAGGCTTCAGACACTCACATGGAGGCACTCCAGACACTTACAGGAGGTACTCAGACACTTACAGGGAGGCACAGACACTTACAGGAGGCTCTGACACCTACAGGAGTACAGACACCACAGGAGGTACTAACACTTACAGGGAGGTACTAGACACTTACAGGGAGGCACTAGACACTTACAGGGAGGCTCTAGACACTTACAGGAGGCTACTAGACACTTACAGGGAGGCACTAGACACTTACAGGGAGGTACTAGACACTTACAGGGAGGCACTAGACACTTACAGGGAGGTACTAGACACTTACAGGGAGGCAGTGACTAGACACTTACAGGGAGGCACTAGACACTTACAGGGAGGTACTAGACACTTACAGGGAGGCTCTAGACACCTCACAGGGAGGTACTCAGACACTTACAGGGAGGCCTAGACACCCTACAGGAGGCTCTAGACACTTACAGGAGGTACTCAGACACTTACAGGAGGACTCAGACACTTACAGGAGGTCTAGACACCTACAGGGAGGTACTAGACACTTACAGGGAGGCACTAGACACCTCACAGGAGGCTCTAGACACTTACAGGGAGGCACTAGACACTTACAGGGAGGCTCTAGACACTTTCAGGAGGTCACACTACAGGAGGGGCTCTAGACACCTTACAGGAGGCTCAGACACTTACAGGGAGGCTCTAGACACTTACAGGGGAGGCTCTAGACACTTACAGGGAGGCTCTAGACACTTACAGGGAGGCTCTAGACACTTACATGGAGTCGCTATATGCATACATAGTTGTGCGTGTGTGTGTGTGTGTGTTAATGCATTGTTCAAAACTAACACTAGTAATCTTCCCACAGAGCCTCCGACACCAGATAGAGTCAACATAACAGATGTGAAGTCCACAAGTTTCTTGGTTTTCTGGCAGGTGAGTTGACAGATCTTACTAAGTGTATGATGAACACACGGATTATGTACAGGAAGAGAGGGTGAAAGATAGAGGTTGAAGAACGGAATACAATATACTCGACTGGACTGGACTGGACTGGACTGGACTGGACTGGACTGGACAGTGATATGGGGATGGAGGCGGGGAATCACTCGTGTAAATATGGAGTTGGGGAGAGAACACAGCCTTGTAAAGGGAAGGTCTCACCTCCGTACTGCCCCACTGTAATATCAGCACTTCTACCGTCCAGAAAGTTGTACAACACATTTTCGGTGAAACAATGGAGGCTTAATTCAAGGATTTTGTATCTTAGACCATTATGCTTCACTGTCTCACCGAGATGTTTTTACATTTGGTCAATGCCTACGGCTGTGTCTCAGGCCTCACACGAGGACTATCGAAGGGAGGAAGGTGCGTCTCTAGTTAATGGGACATATGGATTTATGCCCTGTACCAGAGTTAGCGTTAATGGCCCTGGAATATTGTTGTCAAGTGTCCTGGCCCAGTCAAGCGTTCTTATTAGTCCCTCCATAGCTGAGTTGTTTGTGGTGCTGAGTATAGTCCATCCAGGAGCTTTATTTGTTGGGTACTTGTCATGGCTGCCTTGAGTTCCTCCGTGGTGATTGTTTTTATACATAGGAATTGGTTTATAAGAGGTATTATTTACTGTGTGTGTTGTGGGCATGAGGGAGAGTGGACGCTGCAGGCTGTCCGTATTGTGTTACACCACGTGGTGATTTCTTCGTGAATTAACCTACCCAGGCACAGGTCACTGACCCACATCAGAACCTGGGGGCGAAAGTAATAATAATAATAATAACACAAACATAACAATAAAAATAATAATAATAATAATAATAATAATAATAATAATAATAATAACAATGATGATGATGATGATGATGATGATGATGATGATGATGATGATGATGACTACGATGATGATGATGATGATGATGATGATGATGATGATGATGATGATGATGATGATGATGATGATGATGATGATGATGATGATGATGATGATGATGATGATGATGATGATGATGATGATGATGAGATGATGATGATGATGATGATGATGATGATGATGATGATGATGATGATGATGATGATGATGATGATGATGATGATGATGATGATGATGATGATGATGATGATGATGATGATGATGATGATGATGATGATGATGATGATGATGATGATGATGATGATGATGATGATGATGATGATGATGATGATGATGATGATGATGATGATGATGATATGATGATGATGATGATGATGATGATGATGATGATGACATGATGATGATGATGATGATGATGATGATGATGATGATGATGATGATGATGATGATGATGATGATGATGATGATGATGATGATGATGATGATGATGATGATGATGATGATGATGATGATGATGATGATGATGATGATGATGTGATGATGATGATGATGATGATGATGATGATGATGATGATGATGATGATGATGATGATGATGATGATGATGATGATGATGATGATGATGATGATGATGAAACAAAGAAATACAAAATTAAAAAAAATCAAAAGTGAGGAACAATATATGTATGTTGTGTTGTCAATAGTAAGAGAAACAATCGAGACCCTGCAATTGTGTGTAAATGAGGCAGAAAGACAGATCAGCAACCTGGGACTTGGTCACAATTTTCGTGATGCCATGTGGAAGCAAGATCTACCATAGACAACACATTATGGTTCCAATATCTTCCCAGGCGGTAGTACCTCCCTGTTTGGTAGCTGCCTAATACCTACTACCTATAGTGCTCGTCGGCTGATTGTCTCTCTTATGTAGGATTTTCATTTGTTTGAGTTCGAGTTGAGTTGTGCTTATGGTGTTTGTGTTTCCTGAATGTTTATGTGTTCAATATTTATCTCAACTGCTGGTTCGATCAGTGTTTGCAATTCTTGTGTTTCAGAGTTGGTCACGACACATGTTCCTTCTGTCGGTTGCTGATGGAAGGTGTTTTAGAAGTTACTGTCTGTAATACAGTCATAGTTCTTGAGGCTGAAGGCACCGTTAACTGTTTTTCCTAAGGTTTATTGTAGAGTATCCTAGAAGCAACATAGGTTTGCTGCCTCCTCTAGGTCAGCATGAGTTAAGCACGCGACTGAGCTTCGATGTCCTGTACTTGGTGGACCAGGACAGTGGAAGCTGCCGTTACCAAGTGCTTGATGTCCTCCCGTCGGTTAGTGGCAGGGCCCCTTGCTTGTCTATCCTGTTGCTGTATTTCTCTGATTATTAAGAGACACTTCACAGATATGGGGGTGTGGTTCTCAGCACAGTTCAAACATTTC